TATTTTCGGACATTTTGGGTTTTGTTCGTCATGGTATGGTAATTCTGAGTTTTTACTCCAGGAACCTATAAAATTAAAGGTATTTGTAGTTATTATGATTATTGTTGTTACAACGACATTGGTCGACTATTTGTGAATTACAAATAAACTTTGGTATCTAACTTTGGAATTTGGTTCTGCTGTTAATTTGGGTTCGTGAATTGCAGATAGATCGACATACTGTACTTCAATAACGGGTAGGAGCAAAACTTGGATGTAACAGTCCCATGCGTTGCACTGATGCTGAGCACCTTGAGGTTGTATTTTTTTCATTTCTGCCACAACTTGAAATAGTCTTCCAGTCTCCCACAATGTTCGAACGTTTTCATGTACCTAAAAGAATGGTTGCATGCATAACTTTAGACACAGTAAAATACAAGCGTTTTCATGGCAGAAACTACCTAAATTGACCTGGTTAAATTGATAACATAACCAGTCAGGTTTTCTGAACGATGGCTATCAATCAGATGTATACCCCTAATTTTGTAGACTGAGCTAATACCAGAACCTTCCGAACTCCCATGTAGTTAAATTAGTCCAGGAGCATACTGATCGGTGTTACCAGTTATCTGACATAAACAGCTCCCCTAATTGAAAAATGGAAGTCATGATGGCCATATAAAGCCATCTGGTTTGATAATTTGCAGTAGGTGTAAGATAATTAAAATCATGAGATTCATCAAAAGTATGCTTTTCCTCAAATCAATGCCAGCTTTCATCGTCGTCCTACAAAACTATTTAAGGAGAATGTTGTTTTCGCTAACAATTTTACTTGGCATTTCAAGTGAGTTTTCACAAAAGAAAGTTGTAAGGCTTCATAACTCCTCTGGATACTTCGCTTGATGTGCAAAGTAATCCTCTCTGTATTACTACGGTAACCATAAAACAACTGCTTCACAGGGTGTCCAGCTCTTGGCGTCAGCTCAGTTAATGCTTTTCTAGTCGAACGGTGGAGGCAAACGGACATTTCCGAGTTTACGAAGTTCAACTAGTCACAAAGTCTTATAAAACTCTTGATCTGTTTTGTTATCCATAGGGAATGGTTGCTAGGCTTGTGTAAGTTTCTCCGTCGGTTAAAAAAGACAAAAAAGATTTTAAAAATTATTTTAACACCTGAATCCTCTCCTATGAACTGAGATGAACAGTGGCTAGAGACGGAATGCAAGACGCATTTTCGGTTCTTTTTAGAGCTTGTTATTTGAATGTATCTGCATCTAAGAGTTGTTCATCTCTGGGCCAGTCTGATGATACACTGTATTATTCAATAGCTGGCACGACTGCACTCCATGTAGTGTGTGATAAAACTGGGTGATCACTCTTAGAAATTGAGGCAAAGCTTCAAAATATGAAAGGTTTTTAGTTTCCCGTAAGTTTGCTGCGTTCAGTAGAGATTAGTTTCAGACTTAACAGAAGTCTGAGGTTTCGCGTACTGAAAAATGGCATGCCAATGGAATGTAGTGTCAGCTAAAAACAAGGAGAGATCTTGAGTAGAGTCTGGATAGTGAAATCCTGCAGTACCAGGATCCGTTACTCTAATTTTGAAGCCTAATATGTCCAAGAAGAAGCTTACTAACCGAGCATATTAAGCCACTGTGGATGAGTGAAATTAGGAATACTCAACCCCTAAAAGTTAGTTTGCTGGAATAATCCTCAGAACTCGTTAGAACGCGTGAAAAGTTTGGTCGTACCGTTTAGTAAACTCTACAGGGAACTAGTGAGGAGCAGATTTTTCGTCACTCACTAGGGGAAAATTGGAGATGTAACGTAGAAACCAGAATCCATATATTTGATCCAAACTCAGGAAACGATTAAACAGAACTGGTGTTGATTCGAATACGTCGCAATATTTCTTTTATCATCGGAAGCTTTACTGAATCATTTCCGGCAAGGGATTTCATTTAAAGATAAATTTTATACGGTACTACCATGAATGTAAAAGGGGTCATTTATACGAAATTCCCCAGCACTACTTCTAATACACCAAAAGAATCAGAGTTTCTCTGAAAAACAGATTTATTACAGCGAATCGTTGTTAATAAATACAACTTTTGTGTGCCTGAGAATCAACGAGAATTTTTAGAAGAAAATGGATTCAGATTTTTATCTGCATTAAACTGATCGAATTCCAGATGTTTTCGGCAAGCTTTCAATTAGAAACAATGAGTAATTGCTCTACATCGCAACCTTATGAAGACTCTGCCATCATTGAGCTAGTATTATTCAACAGAGAGGTTAAATAATGACGGCAAATCTTTGCTGTAATCAAACGCTGAAGGTTTAAGGGAAAAAAGAAAAGTATGAACGTGTGTTCGAACAAGCCTTCAATGAGGAAAAGATTTGAGCGGAAGAAAAGTTATCGAATTGGACACTTCTGGGAGATTTTCAGAGCATTAATTCTTTTACAAGTAATGACTTAGTCTAATTATCTCTTAGCTACCGTCATTTAACAGCTATGGATTTCGTACGTCCCATTCTCATGGAACTTACGTACAAAGGAAGTTACGTATATATTATCACCCCACATTATTTTCTATATCTGTTCGGACCACATCTTATATGGGTGCAACACAAAATAATTGGAGAAGTTTCAGAGTCAAGTAGTAAAAAGGTTTTCACTTCAAACTGGCATTTATAGTTACTATATCTCGATTAATATATCTAGTTCGCCAGATTAGTCAATTAGGCTACGAGTGCTGGAGTGATCAACTCCTAAAAATAACCTGCACGTCCAAACACCCACACTATCCAGTCGTGAGTTTTCGCAGATTAACTTCTTTTTTGCTACTGAAGTAGCGAATCAGCTCTAGGCATGTTTCAATCAATCCCATTTTTCATAGGCGTATCAAGTCTTATTCCTGAATGTTGGCATTATCCTGATTTAGAGCACTAACTGACGGGAAGGTCCTTAATACCTTCAACCTCAGTATCACCTTAATGAACGCATTTTTCTGGTTTCATAACGCAAACCCACAATGAGTCATTCGGTAATAGCTGCCACATTTATAAAAATGAGTGCTCGTTCCAAAATTTAGAGTGCTCTTGTTCCCTTAATTTGACCACTCTGAGCCAGTGACGGTTATATTTAGTTTTTCAATAGAAATGAGAGTAAACTTTATTGACGTTGGTCGTTTACTGGCATTGTTAACCTCTCCATTTCTTCGGTTGAGTTTTTTGTTGAACTTTCAGCAAATGCATAATTGGCAGTCAACTCTGCATCGAAACCTATGGAAACAATAATGTAAGCTTCTGCGCTTTAAGGAAAGAGAAGATATACATCACATCAAACCCCTAATGTCTTATTCGAAAAGCGCAACACACAAATCCAGTGAGAATAAAACTATGAAAATAATTCATATTTGCCAGGTCTTTATGGGGTGCGTATCTGGCATAATCACGTACCATACCTCTCACACTTCATTGTTCCCTCAAGATAGGCGAAACAGTTAGGCTACGCTCAGACTAGCATGGGTGACACATTTTAATATCAATGGCAGTACAAAATTTAGCAGACAGCCAGAGAGAAATAAAGTATACCAAAGGTTTTGGAGGGTAAAACGGATAATAAGTAAACAAATTTTCGTCAAAATAACTAAAGTCAAATTTAATGAGGTTTAGATGCTATAAATTAACAAATATAAACTTGAACTAGAATAGTTTGAATTTGAATACCTTTTCGACTTGATGATTTTCCAGTCTTCTTTTTGCCAACTCGAGTTATTTGAACTAAAGTGAAATGAATACACGCAAGCTGTAGCGTCTCGACGATATTAAGATTCGGAGGTTCCTCAGAAACCATAAGGATTCACTTTATCTCCAGAATGGATTTTAAGACAATATTGAAAAAGGTGGTGGGCGATGGAATAGCATTTAACTTAGAAAACCTTTATTTCATGGATATGTGACTCCACGTAGCACAATCAGCCTAAATCCGTGGTGATCCTGTTCTATTTTTATCGACAGTAAGCTATTTGAGACCATTAACCACTGGGAGTTTGGACACTAGGGATGCTGCCTGGGTAAATGCTTCCGTCTAGTTTATTTAGAGACAGTTCGACCGGATCATCCCAGAATTATCTTTTACGTCTCATCGAGATAGGGCTGAGATATAAATGTGATTGGTTGGAAACAGATTCAGGTGGTAGGTTGGGAGATGGTGTCAGGAAAGAAATCTTACAAGGATAGGCCCTGATGCTTAGAAATGTTTTTCCCGATCTATTGGAGAATAAAAGGTAATCTGATGATGGTATGAAACACATAAAGCATAATGAGTCACACTAACGCAAATTTTCTACCAGAACCTCAGCACCACCACCAGGCAACCGACGAAAGGCTTCAAATTTAAGTGAGGAAACTCAGGTACACTCACATTTTACGGTAAAGTTGTCCCGATCAAGAATGTTTTTCCAGCGCTTCCAACGCTTCCTCAGTAGATGGCCTTCAGAGTAGACTTGAAAATTAAGCACTCACGTATAGATTACCACCCCCGCTTGAACCAGTGATCGCTGATAAATGTCTTGTAAATTATCTACCATTAAAAATATCACCTACAATCAGTTTATTCTGATCTTTCCATTTACCATCCCCAAACCCCTTTAATAATGCGCCCTGATCTGCTGGCATTTCTTGCATGGTTAACTAATTAATCAGTTTGCTTCTTCAGATTGGTCTTCTCTCCTTATTCATCCGAAGTTTCTCCCCCATTATTTTTCACACTTCATAAACCAACCTCCGCTCTGGTAATGAGGCAGCTACCAGTTCCGTAAACTCCAGTGCCTTGTGAAAAATGACCTCGATTAGATCACAAGACATATCCCACAAATGTCTGTCAAACTTATTAGCAATAGAATAGTCGAGTGGCTAGAATACCACCCACTGAACACTAACAAGATTGGAATCGCACTGAAACATTAAAAAATAAGCAAAAAAAGACGGCTTATTCTATACGAGCTTGTCAATAAGATATCGGAAATCAGTACAAACAGTTACTGTTCAATGGGATATGTTTGTTTGAATGGTTCAAGTGTGGACTGTTGCTTCTGGGACATTCTAGATAATAACGGCGTGACTTGATTTCTGACCGGTGAGAATGTTGCGTGCATTTGCTGCCTTCCGTGGTGCTGTGACTCCTGTTAGACACGGAGTTGTCCAGAGGTTCTATGCCAAGGAGGTTAAATTTGGAGCCGACGCGAGGTCAGCTATGTTGGTTGGCGTCGACATACTTACAGATGCTGTGGCAGTGACCATGGGCCCTAAAGGTCGTAATGTCATAATAGAGAGCTCATGGAAATCTCCTAAAATTACCAAGGACGGAGTAACAGTTGCAAAGGGAATCGAGCTGAAGGATAAATTCCAGAACATAGGTGCCAAATTAGTGCAGGATGTTGCTAACAACACTAACGAGGAGGCTGGGGATGGTACAACAACAGCTACCGTTTTGGCTCGAGCAATAGCTAAAGAAGGATTTGAAAAGATCAGCAAGGGCGCGAATCCCATTGAGTTTCGAAGAGGTGTGATGGCTGCAGTTGATGCTGTCGTTAAAGAGCTTAAGTCTTTGTCAAAGCCTATATCAACCCCAGAAGAAATAGCACAAGTGGCAACAATATCGGCCAACGGTGACAAAGCGATTGGAGACCTCATTGCTACTGCTATGAAAAAGGTTGGAAACGATGGTACAATAACTGTCAAGGTATATCTGTGTTTAGACCTAATTGCATTACTTAGGATGGGAAAACTCTAAACGATGAGTTGGAGTTCATCGAGGGTATGAAATTTGATCGTGGCTACATTTCCCCTTATTTTATGAATACTGAAAAGGGGGCGCGGTGTGAATTTCAGGATGCATTTGTTTTATTTTCTGAGAAAAAGATCAATAGTATTCAAACACTGTTGCCAGCTCTTGAACTATGTCATCAACAAAAGCGACCACTGCTTATCATAGCTGAAGATGTTGAGGGTGAGGCGCTCACAGCTCTCGTTCTTAATCGGTTAAAGCTGGGCTTACAAGTGTGTGCAGTCAAGGCACCAGGCTTCGGAGACAATCGCAAAAATACTCTTAGGGACATGGCCATAGCGACTGGTGGAATTGTAAGTTGTTGTCTTAGTAAATTTAAGATTCATTTGTTCGACAAAGTTATCTATATTTCCATTTAATGTAGGTGTTTGGAGATGAGGCTGATATGTACAAATTAGAAGATGTACAATTGCAAGACCTAGGGCGTGTGGCTGAGACTGTCGTTACAAAAGACGATTGTCTGCTGATGCGTGGCCGTGGAAGTAAAACAGATGTAGACAAACGAATCGCACAGATCAAAGATGAAATGGAAGCTTCTAGCAGTGAATATGAGAAAGAGAAAATGCATGAACGTTTAGCCAAGCTCTCCAATGGTGTTGCGGTTATTAAGGTTGGTGGAAGCAGTGAAGTCGAAGTTAGTGAGAAGAAAGACCGATACACAGATGCGCTCAACGCAACACGAGCGGCAATTGAGGAGGGAATAGTGCCCGGTGGTGGGACTGCGTTACTTCGCTGTATCCCAATTCTGAAATCACTAGAAACCAAAAACGAAGATCAGCGTACAGGTTAGTCAATCGCTTTTAAATCATTAGTCTGGTGACATCTAATTAATAACCCGATGGTCAGTAGTAAGTGCTAGCTTATCGTCAAACACATTGAGTGACATTATGCAGCAAAGTCTAAGACGCAGGGGAGGGAAACTCGTCGGCACTTGTCCACTACCTTGTGGAAGGCGTCTCGTCGTACTGAACCCTTTGGTGGTGTCAGTACGCCAAATTGTTTGCTCAAGGCATCGATTAGTGCAAAAAAGTAGACAGTAGTATCTCTGGCTCTTACCGAAGCCACAAAGCAAGCTTGGTGGTCAAATTGAAGCTCAAATTTGAGGGTGTCTATATTGCTTCCTTTCGTTGAGCGGACACATACATTAACGTATTATATTGGTTTGGGCGTTGCGTGACTGTGAAGTTACGTGTCAAACAAACCGTAAACAGAATATCATTTCAACCCTCGTACAACCATTCATGGGAATGGTTGTTAGGTTGTAATGAAACAGTGTAATGATCGGTCTGTAGGTTTGCAGCCTAGGGGCTGCATGTCGTCAGACCGAACACCAAGATCACGCAATTTGAATCTTATGCGAGTGGTTGCGCAACAATCTCAGTGCCGTCGACTGGTTTCTTTCTGGTGGTTGGGCTTGTCCTTGATTTCTTTGAAGTAGTGACACGTACCATGGGTGCTGAGCGTTGCAGTTAACTCGATATGCATCATCGTTTTGTTTGCTCACAGGAATTCCATGCAAATTTGTGGATGATCTCTCTCTGGCTCATATCGAAGCCACAAAGCGAGCTTTGTGGTCAAATTGAAGCCTAAATTTAAGGGTGTTTATATTGCTTCCTTTCGTTGAGCAGACACCTACACTAACGTATTATATTGGTTTGAGTGTTGCGTGACTGTGAAGTTACGTGTCAAACAAACCGTAAACAGAATATCATTTCAACCCTCGTACAACCATTCATGAGAATGGTTGTTAGGTTGTAATGAAACAGTGTAATGATCGGTCTGTAGGTTTGCAGCTTGAGGGCTGCATGTCGTCAGACCGAACATCAAGATCACGCAATTTGAATCTTATGCGAGTGGTTGCGCAACAATCTCAGCGCTGTCGAAAGGTTTCTTTCTGGTGGTTGGGCTTGTCCTTGATTTCTTTGAAGTAGTGACACGTACCATGGGTGCTGAGCGTTGCAGTTAACTCGATATGCACCATCGTTTTGTTTGCTCACAGGAATTTCATGCAAATTTGTGGATGATCTCTCTCTGGCTCATATCGAAGCCACAAAGCGAGCTTTGTGGTCAAATTGAAGCCTAAATTTAAGGGTGTTTATATTGCTTCCTTTCGTTGAGCAGACACCTACACTAACGTATTATATTGGTTTGAGTGTTGCGTGACTGTGAAGTTACGTGTCAAACAAACCGTAAACAGAATATCATTTCAACCCTCGTACAACCATTCATGAGAATGGTTGTTAGGTTGTAATGAAACAGTGTAATGATCGGTCTGTAGGTTTATGACAGTAACAACGCTCAAATTGTATGTATTGCTCGCAATAGATGTCATCGTTAAGTATATTTATCTGAATGAATCGTATGCTATCCGTGGGATGTACTGTTGGGTTGTGACTTGTTGCTATCGAGTACTTTTCCACGACAATAGGCTTGATAGCTTTTTAAACTATTCAATTTTGTGTTTCCCAGGTGTGCAAATAGTCCTGCGTGCGCTTTCAACTCCCTGTTATACCATCGCTCACAATGCCGGTGTTAATGCATCTGTTGTTGTCGAAAAGGTCATGAGCATGAGTCAGAATATGGGTTATGATGCTCAGAACGATGTGTATGTCGACATGATCAGTGCTGGGATCATTGATCCTACTAAAGTAAGTCTATCCCTGTTAGTAATTTAGATGAACGTAAAAATGAACTAGTATACTAACTAAAAGTTTCATTTCAGGTCGTTCGAACCGCACTGGTTGATGCAGCTGGTGTTGCTTCCTTACTAACAACTGCAGAGACTGTGGTCACCGATCTCCCGAAGGAAGAGACAGGAGCAAATGCTGCAGGAATGGCCGGGATGGGAGGTATGGGTGGAATGGGTGGCATGATGTGATGAAACACTGCACATCTACTTTGCATTTTGAAACTTTTCTACGTCGTAGTTGATTATATGTGGTAGATGATCCATTTGTTCAAAGTCCCTGATTTTCCCTCAAATATACATAATTTAACTAAAATTATTTTACTTCTACAACTTGAAACAACGTGTGCAAATGAAAATTATGCCGTACCTTGCGGAGAGATACTCGTCAAGGTATGCAGTTTGGCGTGAGCTACGATATCTGAAAATTCACTCTGGTAATTATCAGTGGGCTTAATATTTGGGTGCGATATCTCTACTGTTCTCATCGAGAGTCTGTTGCGTGGTAGTGACTGAGTCCTATTCTTGATGTCAATCGACAGGCAATGACACGAATTCTCACGTATAAAACCAATCAGCAGGACAGTCTTGAAAGTCTAAAGTGAGAAAACCAGGTTTCGAGTCTTGGTGTATGGATCCGGTGTATTCACTTTGACAATCTATCTCGGGGGTCTCATCCTCAGTTTGTTTGGGCTTGGCTTGGCTGAATCACACCACTTGTCAGTCAGTCACTAAGTACTTCGCGTTCCCGTACCACTTTAGCGCAGAGATGCAATTGTCAGTTCAAACCCCACGGTGGTAGAGATAGTGGAAGTATTAGCGTTAGAGGAGAAGATTAGGGTTCGAAGATATTATTAGAAAAGTATAATTGAGTGAGATAAGTTAAGAAAGAGGTGATGAATTCAGAAGACAAGAAGTCCATAAATACGAGTGGATGCGCCTGCGCAGTTGCAAATAGTTTTGAGCTATGTTTCAGTGTCTCTAACCATCTATTACTTTAGTCTCGCGGACCTCAACCAGATCGTCTACATCTACTGACATGGTTCAGTTCACTTGTCAGTGACTTCATGGATTTGTGCCATGTTTTCGCTTGGCAGCTCCAACCTGTTCCCACATCGCAAAACAAAGCTCGATGAGGCAGTCGGTGGTTAGGCATACGCAACACATGTCTCAACCACTTCAACTTATGAAGCTTCAATACTTCATTTATTGGTTTGGTATCCCTGCTTACTACTCGCTTCCTAACAACAACATTGCTCACTCGATTGTCCCAGGATACACGAGTAGTGCTTCGAAGACATCTATGATGGAATACTACTCACCTACGAACATCCTAGCACACACTGGTCATGTTTCGCATCCATCTAGTAGAATGGAGCGAACTACTGCGCAGTACACTCAACCTTCGGTAGAGAGAAGGGTATCTCGCCTACGCCATAAGAGTAACGCAAGTTGGCAAAAGCAAATCGAGCCTTCTGTATCCGTGCTGAGATTTCGTCAACTACCAGACCATCATTGCTGGTGAGACTCCCGAGGTAAGTGAAGCGGTCGACACGCTCAACTACTTCAATCCCTATCACTAGTTCAAATGCCGACGCAAGCCAATCTTGAAGCAAAATTTTGCATTTTGAGGGTGGAACTTGCATCCCGAACATGCTTGCATTGCTGGTTAGGGTAGTCAGAAGACTGCATTTTATCAGCGTCTCCACCAAACAGAACTAAGTCATCAGGATATTCTAAGTCAACAAGCTAGTCTACTGGTAGGTCTGCTTCTGAAAAGTCTGACGAGGATAATGTCATACCTACGAAAAAGTTAAGCAAGAATGGAGAGAGTGGACATCCATGATGAACTCCCCTTTAAGTAACCGATCCCGATGACATTTCCGCCTCGCAAACGACACGATATTACCGCTCAGCGGTTTGCTCTGGTTAACTATGTAAGCGTTGTTTTCCTGTTAGGGAGAAGGCCTTCTCTGGTTCTAGATGTGTGACGAGACTAATGTGTATGTTGGACAGTCAGTGCACCAGGTACAGCGGACACATCGGTTGTTGAGGTGGTAAATACACGGATCAGGTTGTTGCCTTGTTAGGATCCATGCAAACTTGGAGTTATGCTTAACGATAACAAAGCCAAGTGTGCATTTCCGGAGCAACTAGGAAAACAGTTAGTCAGCCATGTAAGTGATGCCCACTCCAAGGCAGCTTGGAATGATATCCAAAAAGCTATGGAGACATCAGTGATATCTGCCAGTAAGGTGAACCATAAGGTTAGTGAGAAACAGTGGATTTCAAGAGCATCTACTTAACTGATAGATGTTCGGAAACTCATCTCATCTGGTTGTAAACACGGTGAGGAGCGGAGGCAGCTTAAGGACAGGCTGATAAAAAGCCTACGCAATGATCGCGAACAGTGGTGAATAGCGAAGGCAATAGAGCTGGGAAAAGCATCGGCAACAGGTAACAGTAGGCAACTGTTCTGACTTATTAACGAAACTGGTGTTAGGAATCCAACTATTTGCGAGACTTTCTTAGAATAAGAGAAATTGGGTCGATGGACAGAATACTTTGGGGATCAGTTCAACTGACCTTCAAACACACTTCGGTCACCCATGATCTCCAGTGAATCTGAATGGCAAGTTTGTGTAAATCCTGCAACTCCTAATGAAGTTGAAAGGCTGTAAGAAATCTGAAGCGAGGGAGGGCAGCAGACGCTGACAGGCTTACCCCTGTAATGTTTTAGAATGCTGGTCCAGTTCTAGCAGTTAGATTGACTGAGATCTTAGGCAGAATTCGGGAATTGGAGGTAATCTCATCCGACTTGTTTCAATCACTAATTGTCCCGGTCTATATGAAACGATAAAAGTACTCCTGTGGCAGTCACTGACAAATCAATTTGACTAATATACTGTCCAACACATTAGCCTCGATCGTACTTCGACGCCGAAATGGAGCTCGTGAAGAGCAGACTCGAGGCTGATTTCAGACTTGGACGTGACTGTATAGACCGCATATTCACACTTCAACAGGTCCTAAGACATAGACATGTTTCACCCACCGTCTGGCAAAAGTTGTATTCGGTCTCAAGGCGGTATTTGAGTATGGGGTTCCATGGCAATATCTGTCATTAAAAGGTGTACCGATGAAGTTCATTAACCTTAACCGAGTCAAAGCTTATGGCGAACTGTTATCAGAATTGATTACTTCAAGTGGTGTTCTTCAGGGTTGTCCACTCTCTCCATTCTCTTTCAACATTATCCTCGTCAGACTTTTCAGAAGCAGACCTTCTACCAGTAGAAGCTTGTTGACTTAGAATATCCTGATGACTTAGTTCTGTTTGGTGGAGACGCTGATAAAATGCAGTCTTCTGACTACCCTAACCAGCAATGCAAGCATGTTCGGGATGCAAGTTTCACCCTCAAAATGCAAAATTTTGCTTCAAGATTGGCTTGCGTCGGCATTTGAACTAGTGATAGGGCGTGAAGTAGTTGAGCGTGTCGACCGCTTCACTTACCCCGGGAGTCTCACCAGCAATGATGGTCTGGTAGTTGACGAAATCTCAGCACGGATACAGAAGGCTCGATTTGCTTTTGCCAACTTGCGTTACTCTTATGGCGTAGGCGAGATATCCGTGCGCTAACCAAAGGACGACTCTACTTTGTCTCAGTTGGCTCCGTCTATTCTATGGCTGTGAAACATGGCCAGTATAAGCGAGGATATTCGTAGGTTACTAGTATTCAATCATCCGTGTCTTCGAAGCATTGTTCGAATATCGTATGACCATCGAATAAGCAGTGATGTTGTTAGGAAGCGGGTACTAGGTAAATATAGCAGATCAATAGTTGAACTAGTGAAACTTCAGCTGAGGTGGTTGGGACAAGTATTACGAATGGGCAACCGCAAACTGCCTTGACGGGTTATGTTTTATGGTGTAAGGGTAGGCTGGAATAAGGCTAAGCGTGACCCAACTGAAACATGGCACACATGTATGAAGTCACTGACAAGTGGACTGAGCCATGTTAATGGGTGTAGACTACCTGGTTGGGGTCCATGAGATTATAGTAACCGGATGGTTAGAGACTCTGAATGACATAGCTCAAAACTGTTTGCAATGGCGCAGGTGCATCCATTCATTTTTTTCCCTGAAATTCTATTCTTTCGAATTCCTCATCATCTTAATCTTCCTCTTCTCTCATTTATTTCACTGGATTATAAACTTCTTGGATAATATCTAAGAATTCTAATCTTTCCGATTACTACTTATGCTTCTATTTACCTATACCACTGTGGGATTTGAATTGACAATTGTATCTCCGTGCTAATGTGGTATAGCGACATTAAATGATGTATGTATGTACGAAGGTTCTATGTCGCAGCTGACTGACTGACTGACATAGTAATGAGATGAAATTACGATAAAAGTATGGCCGAAGCAACGTAAACAGCATTGTTGCTGAATAGAAATCATACTAGTGAGTCCGAATAATATACCTTATCAAGTACAAACCTGAGTAAGTAAGCAAACATATTTCATATTATTATAATAAAGTAAATGGTGATTGGAAAACAGAAATTTTGATTAAAAAAACAAATCGAACCAGACAAATTAGTTTAGTTATTATTGAAAAAATAAATAAATTAGAACATTGTTTAGAACAATAAAAAGAAAGATTAATCAGATAATATAATTTTTCATAAAGACAAATGTGTACATCAAGTAAGACAACAAACAGAAACAATCCCATATGAAAGACATTGTTTTATGCAAAGTCAATAACACAGACATACACACAAGCACACATCAAAATACAGACACTTGAAAGCAGGTAAAAGTAGGCAGAAAAGAAAAAAAAACCGCTGGAATGTTAACCAAAAAAATATCTATCACAAAAAAAACCATAGAACTAACTGACCAGGAGAAATTTATCTGTGTTGAGTTGCAACACACGTAGGCCATGATGCAGCATTCTCATTTGCCTGCCTACACACACATACACACACACACACACCTAGGAATGTGTTTAACACTCCGCCGATAATTATTTCTGTACAAATTATATCATTTGAAAAGAAAAAGGCATGATTATGATTTTACTTGTGTTGTTGTTTAGAAGAAGAAAATAAATTAAAACAAATTAACTTAATAAATCATCTATATCACTTTTAGACAATGGTTTTATTGAATTAGAAGAATGGCATAAAGTTTGATTAGGCAGCAGCATTATGGATGCTGTTGATGATGATGATGATGTGATCGGGAATGATTGATGTGTCAGTGTATTATTATTTGGGACGGCAACCGGTTGAAACGGTTTCATCGTCATCATATTGGATGTGGTTGAAGTAAATGGCATAGAAGTCAATGAATTCAAATGATTAGTATGATTATTACTATTACTGGTGAATGGAACAATTGCATTAGGCAACGAGGCATTTGATTGTAATTGGCCAAAATCAATATTATTCGAGTAATAATAGGCAGAGTTATTATTGTTACTGTTGAAAACACCATTCTGTTGTGGTGCTGGCGGCGGTGGCGGTGTGAGCAAAGCTAAAGGTATACCTGTACCTATGTAATTTTTTTGTATAGTTGATTTAGTATTATTATTATTCATCATCATCAATTCGGATGTATTTTGATTAATGGCATTGACATTGTATGCAATCAATGTATTCGTGATATCCACTGGTTTATTTGTTGTTCTAGTCAATTTCATTGGTCCAATTGGTTGTGGGGATAAGGATGATGATGTTGTTGTCGATGTGAAACGTTCAATTTGATTTTGTTTAGCAGCTAATTGACGTTTTTGTTCTAAACTTAATGAAGTATTTTCATTGATTATGGAACCATTCATTCCAGTAGATGATAAAATAGGCGGTGATGAATTAGTAGTTGTATTGGAATTCGCTAAAGTTGTTGTTGTTGTTGTTGATACAGGACTACGTTTCACGTATTGTTCAGCATTATCCAAATAAGTACAAATTATTCGAGTCATCTAGTGATCAAAAGAACAAACAAACAAACATGAATAACCAAACTGAACAATGACAAATTGTTAACTCGTTTGAAGAAAAAACAACGTGTTGGATGTCGGCCCAGTGGTCTGATGGTAAGACGTTCGCCTACAATGCCAAAGGTCGCGGGTTCGAATCCTGCGAGGTGCAGGAGTCGTGGATGCGCATTGCTGATGAGTCTCATACCAGGACGAAACAGCCGTCTTCCAGTGCTTTCAGGTTTCTACTGGTGGTCTAACAATGATTGATTGATGATTTCAAATGTGTAAAAACACAAACCTCCAAAACTGTGCCCCAAAACAACGTGTTATTGGTCAATTTTTATTATTCATGCAAATAACTTGAATTAAGCACGATCTTGTGTTGATTACTCTTAGTTCAACAGCAAAAAATAGTTTTTTTTTATGGAAAAGAAAAAATTTAACAAAACCGTGCGACAGTGAAAAGTTTAATGCAATTACAAATGAATCTCAAACTTAAACAATGTTACTTCCAAAAAGAAAATTTTATTCAACAGCTCAGTCAATTGATAAAATCAAGTCTTACTGATGAATAAAGGCCTAGAATACCAGTTAACCGTGTTATATAGTTCATTTCATTTTTAATAAAATTAAATATTCTAATTCGAAACATTAGAAGAACAAACTAAAAAAAGCTTCTGTATTTTACAATTTAAGTTTGTGTTGGACGTCAAATGTAATGAGATACATCACTTCAAGTAAATACACAGTGGTTCATTCTGTCTACCTTAAAAGTCAACCAAAGCATACAATCAAATGCCTATTTGAAAATATTTTACGTCCGACGTGTATTAAACTTACTTACTTACTTACGCCTGTTACTCCCAATGGAGCATAGGCTGCCCACCAGTTTTCTCCAACCAACTCTGTCCTGCGCTTCCCTCTCCAGTTCTTTCCAATGTTTGTTCATTCCTCTCATATCTTTCTCTATTTCTCGGCGTAATGTGTTCCTTGGCCTTCCTCTTTTCCTTTTGCCTTGAGGGTTCCATGTGACTGCATAAGAAATTAGTCAATCAGCGCGCAGCAACGTAGTCATGCTTTAATTCTATCTATGTCTCACTAACAGTATAATTGCGGGAAAATCACTACCTAGTGAATATCTTAACTAACTGTTTTGTTTTTTTATGTGGAAACGGATTTCAAAAAAAATTAATATCATAACTATTTTTTTATCTTCATTTATATTTAGAGAGTTTTGTTTTTATCTGTAATATTTGTTATTTTGAAATTTGAATATATAATTTTTGTATCGTTAATCTCAGCACACTGGAGATTAACGTCGGATTCTTCTCAGTAAGATTCAACAATGTTGAAGAAACAAGGAGACAAATGTCACTGATGGCATGCTCAAAAAAGAGACTTGAATATTCTAGGTTCAGTTCAATCTCTGATCAGGCTATATTAGTGGTAACTGTTGTTTTAGAATTGAAATCCATAAGCGGACAGTCAGTGCGTGACGAAGACTAAACACTCCAGATAGCTAGTTAACATCAAAAGAACAACACATTAATCCATACCTTAAAAGTATTTATAAAAAGAAAAAACTTACTAAATCTGAACAAGAGTTGGATGTAGCCCAAACACTTTCATCGATAGTATCAATTTTTATCATGCTGTGTGTAAAGTTTGAAAGAAAGAAAGAAGTATGAAATAGTATACTCACAATATGCGGTACGATTAAATTATGCATTATCACTGATAGATAAGTAAGAGCAATATCGTGGCCTAATAAAAGATGAACATCACAGTCGTTGTCATAAATAAGCTTGTACTCTTGGGCAAAACCATTGAAAAAATTTATACAATCATTAGGATTTGATTTTGACCGATTTGGTCTCTCGTGCTGTAAAGGGTATGAGGGCGGTTGTCACTTCCCGGCTGGCTGCCCACACCGTGGAAGGTTGTTTCTTGAGGGACCTGAAAAGGAAGATAGATTAATGTTGGTTTTGGAGACCTCGTTGCGTGACTACAGAGCCAAAGGGACAACTGCTTGAGGCCGGTCACGCACGGCCTTTTCATGAAAGGTTTTTTGAGGATTAGCTCCACTCTTTAAAGCCCTTAGTGGGCACCCATACCGACGGAGACGGAAATCCGTGAGGTAGGGTGAGGTGTGACATTTTTAGGGTGGACCTTTTCTAACCCCTTCCTTCCTTGTGAGAAGGCAGCATCGCTGCAGATGCTGGTTGTCCGAGGGAAACACCTTACTGCTGTCACATCCCTCTGCAGTCAGCAGTACTTCGCCCTCAGACCTTGAGTAGCTGCTTTTAGTCTCATCGTTCTCCAATCGACCTGCCTGGCATGGTAGAACCTTCAGGAACATATGTTGCAGCCAGTATAGCTCGGTTGGGTCATGACGATAGGCAAGCCTTCTCCTATCATGGTATCCAATTTTTAAGGGATTAAGTATTATCAACGACAGTTATGTCTGTAGACAAATGTAGCATTCTGATTGGTACATATGTTTTGGTGATTGATTCAAAAAGTGTGCAGTTAAACAAGGATTCATAAATCGATAACATTTACGATGCATCGCAAGTTATCCTGTTAAAATCATATTATATTATAGTGATGTAAAACTTGCGATGGCCTCATAAGGAAAAGTTGAAGAAATTTTGATTACTGGTGAAGTTTAAAAATGCTAGGCAATTGAATAAACCAATGAAGTTGAAGAAAACAAGTAGACATATTAAAAAGTCACTGATTTCCAGTCGGTTTGGCGTTGTGTATTTCGCGCCGAAAATTCAAGTGATTGTGAGAAAATGTAACATATAATGAGCCAATCAGAAGTGGTCAAACGAGAAGGCCAATCTAAAGGGTGAATGCATGTCATTGGTCACGAAATGGTACCCTTTTCTAAAGAGATGGAATATATATGTATAGACGAGTATTCGGCAGCCAAATAGACTTGCTCTTCTGTTCGTGCTTTCTCACTCAAGTAGCCACAGTTTTAGGGGGAGGGATAGTTTGCAAGTATCGTATTCCATGTACCAATATTAATGGAAAGGAAGGCCCAGGGCAGAGTAAGTCGGAGAATGGTCAGCGATCCCGTACTCCATTAAGGGTAGCAGGCATAAAGTAAGTAAGTAAGTAAGTAAGTAAGTAGTTATGGCGTTCAGTAGTTCTCTCGGACACTGTACATCATAACACAAGAAGCTCTAACGAACTCAGCCTGCAAACCGCTTGTATACCTTGGCACATCAACTATTGAATGGTTATAGATCAATTCAATTCAATTTATAAATTCAAATAAAAAAAAGTCTTACCTACCTGTTCTCATCACTGGCAGCAGCACCATGCAATTGTTCTAATTTAGCATATTGTTCCCGTTCCAAATATGAACACATATCACGTATTAATGATGCATAAGCACTGTATTGTTTCAAATTTAAACTACTTTCAATCGATAATGGAATAAGATAAGGTAATATTTTACTAGCTAATTTTTCTCGACTAATACCCAATTTTTCATGACTAAATACTAAACGATGTATACCTGTTAGATGAATAGTTGGGAAAAAAAAGAGACAGGAATATATATATATATATATATATATATATATATAACTCAATAAATGAAATTTCAGTATACACTATGCGTTTCATTATGTTGTGTAAACTAAGATAAAATGATAGGTCGAAGGATGAAATCAAACATATATTATATATTTTCGGGCGGAGTTTTGAAGGTTTGTGTTTTTACACATTTGAAATCATCAATCAATCATTGTTAGACCACCATCATAAACCTGGAAGAAGCACTGGACGGCCGTCAAGTCCTGGTATGGGACTCATCAGCAGTGCGCATCCACGACTCCTGCACCTCGCAGGATTCGAACCCGGGGCCTTCGGTATTGTGCGCGAACGCCTGACCATCGGATTTTGCGCGACCTCACCCATTTGTCTTTGTTAGTTACTGCCTACACCCGACAGGGTTGAATTCCACTGGTCACGTCTTCGCACTAGAACTCCGAGAATTCCCTCACGAAGCTAGTCACTAGTCAGCAAAGGTTACGATTTCTCCAATTAGAGTTCTGGAGATCAGTGTTTTTTCACTGATGAGTCCCATACAAGGACGAAAAGGGCCGTCCAGTGCTTCCAGAGTTCTAATGGTGGTCTAACATTGATTGATTGATGATTTCAAATGTGTAAAAATATACTATATAGACAATATCCTATCAGGGTTAGTGTTTTTATGGAGTGAATATTGTGAATTGTAAATTGTAATTTTCGGAACTAAACACACTGACTAGTATTACACGGTTTTCTGTCCCTTATGAATTCTGATTTGGTCTGCATTACCGTTTGATGATAATTCATGTGCGTGTATGTGTGTAAACCTATAAGTGTTGGAAACAGTTAATAGACAAAAATTTGTCAGTTGTTGTAATTCTCTAGTTGGACTGTGATCGATGAAGAAAAACGTTGCGGATATGGAAGATCAGTGTAAGCATTAAAACTCTCTTTATTGCTCAAAGTTGAAGTGTGTCACCAGGTCGAAGTATACCCTGTTGGCATGCAGACAAAAAATAGTATAGTCGGACTAGAGGATTATCAATCCGGAATTTGATTGGTGTATCTTCTGCGGTTATGGATTAGGGTAGATGCGGGAAGACTAGGATTCTAATCAGTTAGAGACGAATATTTCTCAATCGATGATCAAAAGAAAAAGGAGGAGATCAAAGAACAGATTACGCCGAGAATTGGAGACAGACATGAAAATAATGAACACCAATTGGGAAAGAAGTCCAAGGCAAAGTAGGTAGGAGACTGCTAGTCGGAAGCCTATGCTAAGGGTAACAGGAGTAAGTAGGTAATGGATAATCAAGTCGTTTGCCTTACCATATGCAGCACAAAGGGAAACAAAGTAGGATACTTTTACTTTAACCGAATTCATAATATGTCCGAATATATCAAAATACTATGTTACTTTGAGTTACGGCGTTTCAGTATAAGACCTACTTATTTATATTTGTGAGCATGTAAGTTGCGGAGGGGGGGGGCCGGAAGCGATAAGGTGTGGTAATGCAACTATGCTAGTAAGTGACTTGATATTAAAAGAAAAATCCAGTCATCTAAAGTCTCCAATTATTAGGTGGAATTATTTTGGGGATCCGAGAATCAAAAAACCTTTTACATAGATGATATCACCATTGAATGATTTCATAAAAATAGCCAATGCTTTGATTTGGTTGGAATAAATTTATTCCCAAAGCTACTGCTATACTAGTTAGTTAGTAGTACATGTGGGTCTACCATCTCTCAATAGATAAAGATTTCCTTATTCCGGTTTACTAAATCTACTTCGTAATTATATACTTAAACTTAGCTTTACTTACTTAATGGTTTCATCATAAGCTAGAGACATTTTAAAGGTATTTTATAATCAATTACTAACAACCTATGCCTGCCTTAAACCTTTAAGGGTCACATTTCATAGTCAACCAGGTAATCTATAGAGAAATGCTGTACGGTATAAGTAGTATACACTTACCTTTAAGTAGATATACACAGATATTTTTAAAATTAGTGCATAGGGAGCATACAATGACTGGCAAACGTGACATACGATGTTAAGTCACTTTTTTGCCGAGGTGGAAAAAGAAGACATTATTAACAACCCGGTTAGATGGAATTTCATCAGCACAATAATGGATTAGAGAACGCGTAGTACAGTAGTAGTTAACTATTTAGTGACCAATTAGTGCAACAGATGATGTATGAAAATCCATAGGGGACAGCAATGTGTCTGAATCCCCGTGGAAATCATCAGATAAATAAATACTAACCAGCATTAAAATGTAACAGTAGAGAACAGTGTATTAATACACTGAACAATGCCATAGATAGATAGATGTAATGCAATGAATATGGTAGTCGGAAGGAAGTACAATGATCAAGTTGATGAAAATAATCGTAATAATAATAATAATAATAGAGTTTACTGAATATTTATTTTATTTACCCAATATAGCCATTAAAATAGTTGGTTCACGTGATTTAATTTGTTGTAGAAAGGGTAGTATATCATCCATTACAATCCATTTGTCTAAATAGTCTAATAATTTGCCAATACAAAGAAGACAATGCATACGTGTCTAGAATAGGATATAAAAAAAACAAACAGAAGGTTGATTATTGTTAATATTATTATGTACACCACAGGGATTTAAAAACACACAAATAAAGAACAATTTTCAAATGATTTCAATCAACCAATCACATTAGCTGAGAAAGTATGGATCTGAAATTTAGGGATCTATATATAATTTGGAGTTGTGGTATTGTTCATAATGATAAAAAGTCTGAGACTAGATGATCGTAATTATCAATAGTCTTGCTTGGCTTCTTACTTCCCGATGATTTCTCAAAAATAGATAATAGCGTAACAGAAAAAATATGCTAAAAACCCCTCCGATGTTTTTTCTCGGACAGTGTAGTTCATTCTTTCACTCTTTGATCCTATTATGAATTGAATCTTTTACTCAGAACTCTCGTTGTAGTGAACGAGAACACAGGAGGGGTAACCGAATTGTAGTTAACGAAAATTACAGAGTTACTCAGTAAAATTGGAAAACCATATCGTAAATCGTTCATTTGCAAAATAACAGTTCATCATATGGAACTGGACTGTTCCTGTTGCAAAACATCAATCCATTGTCATTATTCATGCGTTTCACACAAATTCCATTGTGTTCTAACTCTTCCTTTCTTGATCTTCCCCCATCTTCTGCTGTCAGACATTACGTTGACACTCACGTCATATACTACTTATAAGTAGCTCGCACCACATCGTAACTAGACTATATGTTTTTTTGATCTTTTTGTTCAGATGTTAAATTTTGGCTACTCGTTTACTTTTATTAGTTAATTTCGTTGTTACCTGTTATCCAGTCATTGATACAATAAGAGGGGTTATGTGTTTGACACTAAACTCCTCCAGAGATTACAGCATGGTTCTACTAATCATTGACTGTTTGCTAGAAACTGTCACTCAAATCTTATTAGATAGATTATTTGAGAATGTTCTGATTTTTTTCTCAGTTACTGAGCATTTTATTTATTAATCATTCTTTTTGTTGATGAGCAAGTTATGTTTTTGTGCTTCAGAAACTTTTGACTTTACAACACAGACTCGACTGTATGAGATGGTTTGTAACTGACATGTATCTTATTTTCTCTCTGAAATTAGAACCGATTAAACTGAGTACAGATTTTGTATTTCCACATAATTTGATACAAGTCAGTCAAAAACGCTTAGGCAATCTAGTCACAATTTTAAGTGACTCGTATCGCGCAAACTCTTTTGCGATTTCAAACGGGTTAAATATTGTGGGTATGAAGCTCTGGACTTATCTTTCGTGCTTATTAATGTTGGTCAGCGAGGAAACTGATACGCCAGGTGAAATTCAGATGCGCACCGCCCAAATTCACAATCCCAGGCGTTAGTGACTGTTATACTATCTATGCCCATTTGAGTCGCGCAGGTAACATTAATCCTCTCGAAATCCCAGGTACGACTTGCTGAAACATAGCAAGTAGAACGAACCTATATTCAGGGTTTATTGACGACTACCTTCAATCGTTTAACGTACATATTATTGGAGACTATGCTAACTAGAAAATATGCTGCTAATTGTATGTTACGAGCAAATACAATTTGTCATTATAGGGTTTTGAAGACTGTTGGGTTCCATTGAAATCTTCAAATGATTAATGTTAGACTACCATTAGCAACGTGGATAACTGAAGAGCCATTTTCTCATATTGTGAGACTACTCGGCAGTGTGTGTTCATAATCCCACAAGCAGGAATTCAACTCAGAGCCTTCAGCCTCGCGTATGAGCAGTTAATCCGCTGACGACTGAGCCGGCATCTAAACGGGTCAATGTCTAACATTAATCAATTCACAGTATAGTGCGACCTCATTCAGTGTCTTCAGTTGGTAACCGGATGTAACACCGCTGGATGTTAGCTAGGTGGTTAAGACGTTGAAGGTCCTCGGTTCAATTCACGTTTGCAGAGTCGTGGATGTATACTGTTGATGAGTCCCATGAAAGGACGAAACGGCCGTCCAGTTCTTCCAGTCTTTTAATGATAGTTTAACATTGATTAATTCATGATTTCAATGAAATACAGTTTGTTTCATAAAGGAAGTATCATTTAGAAAACTGAATAGTCAGAGAGGACGAGAGACATTGTGATACTGATTATTCGATTACAATTATCGATTAGAGTAGTGACATCATACTCTATTATGAATCTGGTGAATTTTATATAGTTCAAATGAATCTAACATTTGTTCAATATATATATATATATATATAGTAGTGCGTAGTGTATTAGGTTACTTAGAAAACTACAAATACACGCTTGTTTACACATAAAATGGAGTATTTGACACTAGAGCGCCATCGATCAACTAATCATAATCGTCCAAATGTTCGATATCAAGCAATGAAACCTATTCAGTAAGTTATTCAACTACTTATATGTAAACAAATAAGTTTACAATTGATTTTAGTAACAGTGTTTTCTCGTTAAATGAAACGTTGTGAATGTATACAGGTTTATATTTTATGTGATTCTTGAAAATTAACCACTGACTTTTTTACGGTCTTTATTTTAAAAGTTTCATATGATTAGACGATCTAGAAAGCTTTACTAAGATTCCCCTAACTAAAATCACTATAATACTTGACTGGTGTGTTCAAAACAAACTAGTAAGGTGTATAAGTGACTGCTACATATTCAGAAAGCATTTTAGGTAGTACCGACTTGTATCACATGTAGTGTAGGAAAGAATTTCGTCTATCAACCGATGGATGAAAGTATTGATCAATAGTTCGTTCTCATTCTGAGCCATATCATTCAGGGTCTCTAACCATCGATTACTATCATCTCACGGACCCCAACCAGGTAGTCTACACCTACCGACATGACTCAGTCCACTTGTCAGTGACTTCATGGATTTATGCCATTTCTTGGTTTGGTCGCCCCTAACTTTCTTCTAACCTATTCCTACACCACAAAACAAAGCTCTTCGAGGCAGTCGGTGGTTAGGCATTCGTAATACATGTTCCAACCACCTCAACTGATGAAATTTCAGCACTTCATCAATCGATTTGCCATCCCTACCTAGAACACGTTTTTTAACGACAGCATTGCTTACTCGGTCGTCCCAGAATACACGAGCAATACTTCGGAGACATCTAGTAACCTACGAAAGTCCTCTACTCTAAACGGCCATGTTTCGCATCCGTACAGTAAGAAGGAGCGAACTGCTGAACAGTACACTTATCCTTTGGTTAACATGCGGATATCTCGCCTGCGCCATAGGTGACGCAGGTTGGCAAAAGCCAATCGAGTCTTCTGTATCCGTGCTGAGATTTCGTCAGTCACCAGGCCATCAGCACTGATGAGACTCCCCAGATACATGGAGCGGTCAACACGTTCGAATACTTCACTCCCTATTACTAGTTCCGGTGAAGTCGCAAGCCAATCCTGAAGCAACATTTTGCATTTCGAGAGGGAAAACCGCATCCCGAAGATGCTTGCCTGATGATAACAGTGAGGTTTAGAATGACCATCTCAATTCGACTGCCATTGTGGAGCAAGTTATATCACTCGAAGTTGGTACTCGTGAACACCTCCCAGTGTGGATAAGCAAAGAGGGATTGAAAGCTATGAACAGTTCGATACTGGATCATTTAGTGTAAAAATGGTCATGGCGCCAGTATAATAAGTCAGCCTTTCTTAATTAATTTATCGGGTCAATAATTTTTTTTCAAAGTCTCTTCGGCTCAAAATCTTTCAAATGACAGTAACAACAGTTATTCGGATTAAAAAAAATCGGAACTCTTTCGCTTACCGTGATCAACCTTCGGGTCAATCGACCACTAGTAATCTTAAATATAGAATGACTCGACTTGACTAGTGTACATGCAATTGTCTCTGTTGTAGCTATTGACATATATCTCTGTATTACTAGTATTGGTTTAACATTGCTAATCATCTCTCGCACACATGGTCATTTTATCAACATTATTTATGATGAGCATAAAAATGTACATTGAATTAAATCAACATACATTCTTGCCACCCCAATAGAACATACAATCAAAAACATTTATAATAAATTACTTCACGAATTTATTCTATCTGCATAGGTGGTTAATCATCACAAATCAAACTAGAAGAGTATGTAAATTACACATAATAATTCTAAATATACATTAGGTATGAGTTACAGTTTAGTCACAGTTAAAGACAATCAACATTAAAAGATCTTAATAGACTTACAGATAAATATTCTGTGGATAAGCATAAACGTTGTATTCGTCGAATGAAAGCATTTCTTAATACTGTTATTTCGATTACTTTACCAATAGTTGGTAAAGATTGAAGACACAATTCCTAGATGATCATGACAAGATAATAACACAGAATGAACTTAATTTACACATAAACAGGATAGTAATTAATAATAAAAACAAATAATAATTGTACCAGGCTGTTTATCGTATTCATCTCCCTTGGGTTTACTTGTTTGTTTTTTTCTGTTGGAGCTTGTCATAATTCGGGCTAAGATGGTGAGTTCACTTTGTCGCTGGCTGCATGTATTGTTTTATGATATTAGTTTAATGCTCAACATGACATTTTTAGACATTGGATTTTAATTCGTACTGTAACACTATTTTGGATCAATATGTTTGTACCAATGAAGTTTAAATCGCATTTAGTATGTTAGGTGTGAAATTTTGCTGTGTGACAAGTATATCAAGTGTTTGTAAAAACCAGTATAGAAATATAAGTGAATTTGACAGAATGATGACGTGATTTCGAATGACTTGTTTTGATAGAATCAATAAATCTCCACTTACATTATTAGCCTTTCGTTCTTAATTTTCGTCGTGAGAATTGCTTAGGTCTGAATTCCAAGTATAAGCAGTCTCATTGTAGGTTACAAAAGACCTTAAACGTACCAGGCGGAGGCAACGCGCATATTACAGTTTGGTGTTGTATGGCAGGCCAGTAGAAATTTTTGGATTATCTCCTCTAACTGTCCATCCCTAATCCAGACTTATTTTAATACTGTTTTAAAGGTGTTCAAAAATCTTTCAACCTGCCGTTTAGACTGTAGGCGATAGTTGAGAGTATTGATGTGTTTAATCATATTGGAAATACGAAAGTTCCAAAGATATGAACACTGTGATCCGTGGTCTGATACCGATACTACTTTGCATCACCCCTAAAACAGATAAATATCTGCCTTAATTTATCCACAGTAATTTTCATTGATATGGATTTTATACAGTTGATTTTTAGTCATTTTGGAAAGACATAAATTATCTCAGAAGTCTTATCAGCCCTAGTGAATTAATGTCTGACGAGACCACGGGATGAATCCAGAAAGCTTTGTTAGTTTATGCCAACTTGCATTATCTATGCTATAGACAAGATGCCCAGCTTCCAAATAAAGGATGAGTAAAATGTGCAGCAGTCAGCTCTGTTCCATTTTATGACTGTGAAATGTGCCCCTTAAAAATTGAGGATATTATTAAGTCACTAGTATTTGGTCAAAGATACCTTCGAACCATCGCACGTAAGTTATGAGACCATCGCGTTAACAATTCTCAGGTTAGACACAAAGTACTAGGTAGTTAAAGCAAATCGACCGATAAAGTAGTGAATCATTATCGAGCTAGCTGGCTGGAATACGTATCACATACACCCATTGACCGACCACCTGAACACAAATTGATGGATGATGTAGGAGTAGGCTGGGAGAAAGTTTGGGGCGGTCAAATCGAAACATGGCATCAGTTTATGGAGACACTGGCCATTAAGCTAACTCGAGTTACAACCCTATGCGTGCTTATGCTACAATAATTGGTTTTTTAGCTTGGTGTATCTAACTTGTGATCGTCTGTTTGGGTAGAGGGAATGTACATTCTGGACCAACTGGAATATGGATTTTGGTAGTCCTCATTCACAGTCATTTGTTGTCGGTCGAATGATGTTCTTGGGCAGGTAAACGTCACTAGACTAATAGGAGTACAAAGTAATTGAATTATTGGAGATTGTCTGATTTAGTTGGATACAAAACAGGACTGACGGTCATAACAACATGGTGAAGTTTTTGTACAATTTTGAAGAACATTTTCATCAAGAGATGCCATGCTGCAGATATCAAACCACATGGACCAGATCGTCTATCCACTCCTGAGACTTTTAGCAGGAATATTCACCTAAGACTATAGTTATTATCGTTCCCGTAGTATCGTGTAGGCCACACAATACTATTCAGACACTAGGTTGTACAGCTAGTTTAAGTCCTTTTTTGAAATGATACTCTAATGGTATATATCTTATCAGCCAAGAATAAAGTGATTTTTTGTTTTACAGTGAAACAATACTTGGAATGAATAAGTTAATCAAATAATAATTTATAATCAAACTTAACAATATAAATAAACTGACACACACATAGTCGAATGATGATCTCTACACGTGAATTAGATTGCATTGTCGATTATATATATTGATATTATTTACTTTACAAAAATATTGATTCTTTAATGATAACTATTCAAAATAATTAATTTGATACAATTCTAGGAGATTCGATTGAAAACAATGCATATTTTTATTGGAGTTCGGTTGTCTGTCTCTAATGGAAATGATTTTTGATCATGACGCTTCACAGCATTTCTCGTATATCCTTGGATACCTGAGTGAGCAAAGCTGTTATTAGGAAACGGGTGCTAGGTAAGAATGGCATATCAATAGATGAAGTGCTGAAACTTCATCAGTTGAGGTGGTTGGGACATGTGTTGCGTATGCCTAACAACCGACTGCATCGTCGAGCTTTGTTTTGTAGTGTAGGAACCGGTTGGAAGAAAGCTAGGGGCGGTCACATCAAAACATGACACAAATCCATGAAGTCATTGACAAGTGGACTGAGTCATGTCTGTAGTTGTCGAATACCTGGTTGGGGTCCGCGAGATGATAATAATCGATGGTTAGAGACCTTGACTGACGTGGCTCAAAACCGTTTGCGATGGCGCCGGTGCATTTATTCTTTATGTTCTCTCAAATCTTAATCTTCTGGATTCTTCAACACCTCTAGTTTTGACTATCTAAACTTATCTCACTGAATCATACTTCTTGAATAATATCTTCTTATCCTAACCTCTCTGATTACTTCTAATACATTTACTACCTCTTCTACTATTGGATTTGAATTGACAATTACATCTCTGTGCTGATGTGGTATGGCGACATGAACTGATGTACTTACATACAAAGTTCTACGTTGCATCTGATTGACTGACTGACTGACTGATGACGCTTTACTTCAATGGTGATGCTTGACATGATTAGTGCTTGTTCTCTATGAAGCAGATTTGTATGATTTAATCAACTATGATTTCATAACACATAAATCAATTGAATAAAACAAAAAAAACAAACTAACCTGTATCATCTTATTATCAATGTCCAATGCTGATTGTAACATTGGCAGAATATAATTACGAAATTCTTTAATTGGGAATTTCTCACTTAATATATGTAAATTTTGCAAGAATATTAAAACAATCTGAAATGATGGACACGAGAAAAGAAACACATAGTTAATGAAGATCAGAGAAGATAGGGAAAGTAGTCACTTAGATCAATGAAATCACAGTCCTATCAAAATAGAAGTACGCGAAAGTATGAATTTTTATTAAGATCACTTTAATAACCATAAAAATAAACACACAAGGTTAAGTAGAATCGAAAAATCACAGGAAACTAAAAGTAACAAAAAACCATCATTTGTCATACTAGATAATATTGAATTTTGAATTGTGTTCTAGTTGTTGCAAGCCTAACGGTTAAATACCCACTGAAATATAATAGCCCAAGATCTACACTCTTGAGGATATCCAAACGAAGATGATATCCGAAGTAAGATCAATCCATGACATACATACCATTTGGGAATTTGATGTGATAGTGTAAGGGAAAAACGATTCGTCTTCGAGCATGACAAGCGGGGCACAGTCTACTGACTATGAATATGTGGTTTCACCTCCTCCTATTGACTACTACTCTGGACTTCACTCGGTGTGACTGCTTTTGCTTGTGGCGTTGGATAAAAATATTGTCTAGCGATTACTCTGGTTCTTTATTTTAGTCGTCAGTCGTGCCTGGTCTAACGTAATCTAGTAATGTGTTCGTAAAGTATCCAATTCATTGGTGGCATAAACTCGGTCACCTATTTAGTAGCTGCGCATAATATGGAAGGGATGAAGAATGTATCGAAACCTCCCATTATATTAAAATTATCACTAATTCAACATTATATGTTCAGCACAATATATTAATTTACAGCACATAATATTTCAACAAGTTTCTCTTATATATATATATTGAAATCATCAACCAATCATTGTTAGATAATCATTAGAAACCAGGAAGCACTGGACAGCCGTTTCGTCCTGGTATGGGAGTCATCAGCAGTGTGTATCCACGACTCTTGTACCACGCAGGATTCGAACATAGGACCTCCGGTCTTGCGCGCGAACGCCTAACTTTTGGACCACTGTGCTCACTGGTGACTAGCTTCGTGAGCAAATTCTTGGAGTTCTAGTGCGAAGACGTGACCAGTGGTGTTCAACCCAGTCGGGTGTAGGCAGTAACTACCAAAGACAAATGGGTGAGGTGGCGCAAAATCCGTAGATTGATCAGAGTTAGACATTAACACCGTTGGATTCCGGCCCAGTGATCCAGAGGTAAGCCACTCGCGAGCAAGACCGGAGGTCCTGGGTTCGAATCCTGAGAAAAGCAGGAGTCGTGGACGCGTGCTGCTGATGAGTCCCATACCAGGACGAGACGGCTGTCCAGTGCTTTCAGGCTTCTAATGGTGGCCTAACAACGATTAGTTGATGATTTCAATGAGCAACAAACACTAATCTCCATAACTCTAATTGAAATATATATTTATATAAATTTTTAAATTCTTATTCATTTTATACCTAGAAAAAGATATTTTTTTAAACTGTTTTTGTTTTTGCAGTTGAAATTTAAACATACCTGTATAGGTTCTTTCATTGTCAATACAGGTGTGAGACGAGGTAGCATATATTGAACAAATTCATCTTGTGTAACTAGATCTAAAATTTGTAAAACAGCCGGTAGAATAAACGGGACCATGTGTGGATTTGAAAAATCTTCAGCGATTTGTGGAAAAACACGAAATAGACATAAACGCTGAAAATGGAAAACAAATACATACACATGAGAGATGTGTGTTAATGAGATGATGATGTTGGTGAATGACTTTCGCTGAACTTTCATTCTCTGAACTGGATGGTTTTTTGATCAGACAAAAATTGATCAAATTGATTTAAAGAGAAAATGAAACAACTACAAAAATTAATAGAGGATTTGTTTTCAATGCATGCACCGCACATTATTATACACTAACTTGTAACCCTAACTCTGGGACTGGATGAAAAAGAGGAGAAATGACCAATTTATGACATAAAGTAGTGGTGATGTAAGAAGCCTGCGTAAAACTGGTATCTGTTCGTTCATCGTGACTTTGAAGTAGGCGAGTCATATGGATGGTGTAACTCAGTGGCTCGAGAAGCAATTAGACATGTATCACAATAGAAACTAATGGGAGATATGAATTAATATTTTGGTGAATATCAGACGAAGTGTTGGAATGACAGCATATTCCAAGCAGTTGTTGCTAGCAGTGAAATTACTTCAGAATATAGAAGCATCTAGCAAACGCAGAATCACGTATCACAACTTCGATAAGATATTTACCTACACCCGAAATTTCCAGAAACCCAAGGTCATTTTGTGACTATAAATACCTTCGCTTTCCTGTACACTACTCTACATCAACTTCATCGACTACGAGAAAGCATTCGATAGCGTGTACAGGAAAACAGTATGGAGGCTTCTTCGACACTACAGTGTGCCTGAGGAGATAGTTAACATCATACGGAATTCTTACAATGGTTTCAACTGCAAAATCGTACACGCAGGACAGCTAACAGACTCTTTCGAGGTGCAGACCGGTGTCAGGCAAGGTTGCTTACTCTCACCCTTTCTCTTTCTCCTGGTCATCGACTGGATTATGAAGACGTCAACATCTGGAGGGAAGCAAGGTATCCAATGGACAGCTAGGATTCAGATGGACGATCTGGACTTCGCAGATGACTTGGCTCTTCTATCGCACACGCAACAACAAATGCAAGAGAAGACGACCAGTGTAGCAGCAGCCTCTGCAGCGGCAGGTCTCAACATACATAAAGGAAAAAGAAAAATTCTCCGATGCAACACAACATGCACCAACCAAATCACTCTTGATGGACACGCCTTGGAGGGCGTTAACACCTTTACATATCTTGGCAGCATCATCGACAACCAAGGTGGATCCGATGCAGATGTGAGGGCGCGGATTGACAAAGCAAGGGCTGCATTTCTACAGTTGAAAAATATCTGGAACTCCAAACAACTTTCAAACAAAACCAAAATCAGGATTTTCAATGCAAACGTCAAGACAGTTTTACTGTATGGAGCGGAAACTTGGAGAACTACGAAAGCCATCATCCAGAAGATACAAGTGTTTATTAACAGTTGTCTACGCAAGCGGTGGAAGTGGATAGGACACACACTGCGAAAAGCACCCAACTGTGTCACAAGACCAACCCTCACTTGGAACCCTCAAGGCAAAAGGAAAAGAGGAAGGCCAAGGAACACATTACGCCGAGAAATAGAGAAAGAAATGAGAAGAATGAACAAAAATTGGACAGAACTAGGACGGGAAGCTCAGAATAGAGTCGGTTGGAGAATACTGGTCGGCAGCCTATGCGCTTCATTGGGGGTAAAAGGCATAAGTAAGTAACTAAGTAATGTGGTATGGCAACTTGAACTGATGTACATATATACGAAATTCTACATTATAGCTGACTTACTTTTGATAAAGTATGAATCGAATTTGGTAAAGATTTATAAAATTGTGATCTAGACAAATTGTCCAATTGATACATATTATCGATACTTTGTAAAACTGATATTGATGCATCTTCAAAATACGATGTCTAGAAAAAAAAATACAATAAAACAATAGAAAAAAAAAATAATAATAATAAAACAGAGTGAACATGATACACTATTTACTGGAATAAATATTGAAGGCATAAACTATTTAATGGAGAGGAGAATTTTAATCGGTAAACATTATCAAAAGGTCAATATTAAGTGGATGATAGATGTGATGCTAGTTATTGATTTTGGAACAGGACATAACATCATCACTCTAGTTATGAGATAATCTAATATATATATATATATATGAGAGAGAGAGAGAGAGTCAATTCTTGAGATGTAGTCTCATGGTGGTTAATGACCAACAATAGGTTCACTTCACATGTTATTTGTTACCTACCTCAAGATCCTGAAGCCCCCATGTACACCACTGGTTCGAAATCAGGGATTTTCAACTACCCTGAATGAACCATCAACTTCATAAACAACACAGAACAAATTACAGATTTTAATCCCCTTTTTTAACTCAACAGCTAAGTAGTAAATACTTCAACATATGAGAGAAAAAAGATGTTAATTATTTGTAAATCTCTCTTTGATAAATGTTGTTGTTGTTGTTATTATTGACATGAAATTAGTTTCTTTGTGAAAACAATAGAAATTTTCCATTTCATTCAAATGAATATAATTTTTTTTTGAATCGGAAAACTTACTCTTAAAAATTGTACAGCATTTGGTCGAATTTTCGGATCCGATGACAGCATCATTTTCACATATTCTTTTAAATTGCTTGGTAAATTTAATTCTTTACTTGCTAATAATGATGAAAGCTTATTGAAGGAAGATAAAACACAAATTTAACAAGAATAAACAAAAAAATATAAATATGTATATATATATATATATATATATTGAAAAATTGAACAGTTCAATTTTAACCAATTTAATGCGTGCATTTTTATGGTGTATTTGTTGAAAAAAATTTAAAAAAAACTGGTTAATTTTAATTGTGAGCTGATTTTTAAACTCAACAATACTATTTATTTATTTCATTGATTATTAGTAAAACTTAGTTAACTATATAGAGAGAGAATGGTGAAGAGAATTTGTAGCTGTCTAGGTGAATGAATGATTGTGATGAAGTTTTGTTCTCTGAGCTGGATGTTTTGATTATGAAAGGTTTCATTGTTCTCTTCGGAACAACAACGCCATCAGCACAAACTTCAGGTGGAAGAAGTGAAGTAATCAAATTTCTCCTCATGTATAAGTCATAAATTGATTGGTTTTTATTGACCTTACACAAAACTCCATCGCAATTAGTTACCTATAAATAGGTTGTTCAGTTGTGTATCAACAATGTCTTAATGATGTATCTATCTAACAAGAACCAAATAAATTGTAATGCGTTAGTTATAATCCAGTATTTCATTTGTACATAATAGACACATGAATTATATGTAAGTTTGAATGATAATTGTATAATCATTAACTAATGCACTTGTGATCAGGTGTTTGCCCCAATGAAATGAATTTAGAAGAGTAAACATTTTCATGATCTAACGATTGTGTAGAAAGAAAATGCAATGGCTGTTTACTGTATGAAAATATGATTAATATGACAACAAAAAGTTTCAAGATACTATACAATATATCGACTTTTGTCATTTGAACAACAGTTGAACTTATTTGGAATTATCCAAAAACGGTTTCATTGAAATGTGAATTGTTAAGTCATATACATACAATTTACAATACTCTCAGTGTGAAGAATGAAGAAGTACAGATCAAATGGACTATATTTGGTAGAGAAGACAGTTTACCGACAAAATACGCACACCTTATCTTCAAAACCCCCATGTCTTCTGATCTTCAAACTATAATGTTCACGCCATGCATTTCGTTCTCCTTCCATTCTTCTCTCTGGTAGCAAAATGTTGCTTCAAGATTGGGTTACATCGGCACCTGAACTAGTGATAGGGAGTGAGGTAGTCGAACGTGTAGACCGCTTCACTTATCTGGGGAGTGTACTGTGCAGTAGTTCGCTCCGTCTTACTTTATGGCTGTGAAACATGACCAGTGAGAGTAGAAGATATTCGTAGGTTACTGGTTTTCGATCATAGGTGTCTTCGAAGCATTGCTCGTATATCGTGGGACAACCGAGTGAGCAACGCTGTTATTAGGAAACGAGTGCTAGGTAAGGATGGCAGAACAATCGATGCAGTAATGAAACTTCATCAGTTGAGGTGGTTGGCACATGTGCTGCGTATGCCTAACCACCGACTGCCTCGACGAGCTTTGTTTTGTAGTGTAGTAGTAGGTTGGAAGAAAGTTAGGGGTGGTCAGACCAAAACATGGCAGAAATGCATGAAGTCATTGACGAGTGGACTACGTCATGTCGGTAGTTGTCGACTACCACCTGGTCGGGGTCCGCGAGATGATAATAATCGATGGTTAGAGACCTTGAATGACATGGCTCAAAATCGTTTGTAATGGCGCCAGTGCATTTATTCTTTGTGTTCTCTCAAATCCTAATCTTCTGGATTCTTCAACACCTCTAGTTCCGAATCTCTAAACTTTTCTCACTGAATCATACTTTTTGAATAATATCTTCTAATCCTAACCTCTCCGATTACTTGTAACACCCTTACTAACTCTTCTTCTATTGGATTTGAATTGACAATTACATCTCTGTGCTTATGTGGTATGGCGACATGAACTGATGTACTTACGTACGAAGTTCTACGTTGCAACTGACTGACTGAATTTCGGGGCAACACTACGACGCTACATACAACCTGCTATATATTACTTGGTTAGTAGCATCCACCGCAACAGCACAAGATTTTATTGAATTATTCTCTTAGTGCAATTACAAAGTTCATTTTACAAGCATGAACTGGTCATAAATTCGAGTCACAATTGAGCTGCTACGAGAAATGCACTTCATAGTAATTTGTTCCTGTCGACAAACTTCAGAAAAAACGACAGTTACTGTAAACTAACTAAGTACACAATAGATAAAACAAACAAGGGCTTTGAGTTTGTTTATACTACTTCTGGAGTTGTAAGTACAATTTTATGTGAACAATCATCATCAATTGACATCTGTCAACTGTCCTAAATTTACAAAACGAAAGAGTGACTAGTATGAAACTTAGCAAAGAGCATAGATCTAGCATCTGAGGCTGATTTAGGCGAAGCTCATTATCAGCTGACCAAATTTAAGTGTATACTACTTGCTTCAGTAATTCACCTACGTACTGATGGTGATAAATGACAAGATCACAGGAACGACGTAGTAGTTGGTAGTAAAATGCATAATGTCATCTTACAAATGATATCACAATAGTGAAAATAAAGAAGAATTTATCACTTTATGCTGCCATTATATGCAGCATTTTATGAAAAGTCAACTATCACAGCTATCATAAATAGGTCTTGAATTATTCTACAAGTAGGTGATAATAATCATTAATAGGCCATTGGAACACTATGCAACCAATTAATTTAAGAAAAAAGATTTAACATCAACGAAACTAACAACATTTTCTGTATTGTTTTTACACTACTTTTGAGTAGTAAGATGTCTTACTTCAAAAAAAAAAGTGGTTGTAAGAAAGTTTGGTACAATTTGAAAAGCTGATTGGAACTAATAAGAAAATCAACAACCGCGTAAATTCCTAAACATACAGAGAGCCGAATTCTTAAAATTTCGGCTATCCTGTCCTAGAATTTATTTCGTTTATACTGACTGCCAAAACATCTTAGAGGAGCATAGAAAATAGATGATCACAATGTTAGACGTTTATCAATGGTTCTTCGACTGACGTTGGTTCGTGATCAACATTAATGTGAAATTATGCTGAACTAAAGATAGTATGCGGTGCTTTCGAATGATTAATGGACATTATCATGACAGTAACTAATCTTATGGCAATGTTGAATAATTACAAAATGTTGACTCTTACAAGTGACATTAGTTCATTCAATGACGAACGATGAATACAATCATACAGTATAAAATTGAGAATGTAGACCTTAGATGAATAGATAGTCTTAGAGCTAATTGTAAAACTTAGGAAAAATTCAGTACAAATTCAGAAGTGGCATTGTTTAGACAGTTGGTCCGAAAAAAAAAGTTGCGAATAGAACGGAGCTGAGTATGCCAAAAAAACAAGAACAAGTAATATGCACGTAATGTACTTGTCTCTTGGCTACCGAAAAAAAAGACGTAACACAATATATGCATATATATATCAATTAACTATTGATTAAGTTGAAATATTCACAATACCTTCATACTTATGAACATATTGATACGTGTAGAATACATGAAATAAGATATGAGAGAAGTAATAAGGGGTGGGTATTGATTAGAAGCTACGTAGTGTATAAAAATTCATGAATAGTGGAATCAGTAAATGTTTGATGATGGTTAAGTGAATGATGGAGACATAATAAGGATTAACGAGCTAGTGGAATAGAAATCAACGTTCAGACTACTGCAAATAGTATTTTAGGTATGACTTTTTTTCTATATAGTTATAAACACCATTGAATTGTAAATGTGTTTGTTACGCATGCAACGTAAACATGTCAATTTAATATGCTTGAACTATTACGAATTTACCGTAGTCGGAAAACGAGAGCGAGGATCGATGATCCAGCGACACGACATGCTACTCTAATCCAAATGTCACAAACCCCCATCGAGTAAAAGAAGAAGACTCGATATGAAGTAGAACCTGTATTCTACAAACATCCAGAAAGTATGAGGTCCAAGCTCAGAAGAGGATAAGGATCCCGGACTAGGGATCCGGGTCCGGGTCATAAAACGTTACAGATAATGCGTATTTATACAGTTAGGTTGAATAGGAAACAACACTTGAAGTCTGTGACATTAATAGTTAGGACGACCATAATATTGACCATTAGGAATTGACCAATAGAAAATGATTCTCTTCGGGATATTTGATAAATATCTTAACAAAATAATTGTTAGTTTGAATAAAACAAATTACCATCTAACTAGTTTTACATTAGTTCTTAAAAAAATAAGAAATATTTCAACTAGAAAAAATTAACATCATTTTCATCATCTCATCCAATTGATGTTTGCTCTTTCTACTTTCCATAATCTATGGCTGCTTCATTTCAATTGGACATACTCAATAGTCTAATGAGTTATATAAGTGAGCAATTGATAACAAGATTATTATTTATGATCAACTGCTAGGAACTTCGATTTATTTCATATAAACATTAAGGTTATACAGAGTAAACTGTAGTGTGCTTTGACCTCGTTTATAAAAGAGACAAGTACTATATACCTGAATTACACGTTAGTGAAAATTATGACAGTTTTTTTTTTCATATTTACTCCAAGAATTTAACAGATCATACACAAAGAAGATGAACTTTTTTTGTCAAAAATAAAACATGACAAGATCACAGTTTTCTCAGATTACTTCACTCATTTAAAACAGTTTTTGTTTCATTCAATGAAGTGGGCTTTAACATTTTGTGTGTGTAGATTTCGTCAGCTTTTACTGAATACTGAACCATAGACTACATTAAAATATATGCATTTTAACAACTTTCCAAATCATTTTTTCATGGACAATTCTTAATGGATAGGGGGATAGATTGAAATAGAAAATGATAGACAGTGTCTACCGAAGACTGTGTATGAGGTTGCGCAACTCCGTGAATTGATCAAGTTAAACATTCATAGTTAACATTAATGTTCTTCAATTTGATTCAATCTCAACAACACACCTCCTTGAGTGTGCGTCTATATATATATATATGTATGAAGCTTCAATGATGAAAAGTCAAACAAATATGCACATAAATAATGAGTTTACATAAACTACAAGTGTTTGTTGGAAGGCGGAGGGGGCGAGGGGCAGTAGATTTGGCTTTATTCTAATGAAAGGCAAATTAACGCACGAATCCAATAGTGTTCATGTCAATAGTAATACAGATAATTTTCAGCGAATGAAAAACATGACTGATCAATAAGTTAACTGATTGTATTGCCTGTAAAAACTCTTGATATTTTGTATATGCTGTTCTAATATTTTAAGCGAAAGAAGGCATATTTCATTGTGAATTTTAATACATTTATTGATCATGTAATTAGATTACTAAGTATAGGTTTATGGTAAACGGGACTTGGTGTTCATATTATTTTCATATGAAGGCTATCAATTTGATTTGAGCTATTTATTCCTGAATTGCTGAGGTTGGTTTCCAAAAAGTAACTTAATACTTGGATGATTAGTGCATGAACTGCTAAACTAACAATCTAATTAAATCAATACATTGAATATGTTGTATCCACTACTCATTTATTTATTCATTCATTGGCTCTCATTTATTATACTCTCCTTTTTTATTATTTATAATTAATAATAATATATTTCTATTCTAACTCCCTATGTTCAGTTATATTTACTTAGTCTTTTGATTGTATGTGTTACGTATGCCTAACCACCGACTGCCTCGACGAACTATGATTTTTGGCATAGGAGTAGGTAGGAAAATGCTAGGGGCAGCCAAACCAAAACATGGCGCAAATCCATGAAGTCATTGAGAAGTGGACTGAGTCATGTTGGTAGGTGTCGAATACCTGGTTGGGGTCCGCAAGACGATAGTAGCTGATGGTTAGACACCTTGAACGACATGGATCAGAATCGTTTGCAGTGGCGCAGGTGCATCCACTCTTTGCGTTCTCTCAAACTCTAACCTTCTGAATTCCACATAATCTCTATCTTTCTCCTTCTAAATTTATCTCACTGAATTATACTTCTTGAATCATATCTTCGCTCCCTAATCTTCTCCATTACTGCTAATACTTCTACTATCACTATCACTCTTGGATTTGAACTGACAGTTGCGTCTATGTGCTGATGTGGTATGGCAACCTGAACTGATGTACTTACGTACGAAGTTCTGCGTTGTATCTCTCTGTCTGTGATTGTATGCCCTTTCAATCTTACAAAACACATACAGAGTTTGAATTGTACGGTATTCTTTACTTTTAGTTATGAATTTCACCTATTCATCAACCTTAGTTATACCTAGTAGATTGAAATCTATCTTTTCTGAATGCAATGTTACAACAAATGAGACTTGTAATTGTGATGAAGTTTCGTTCTCTAAGCTGGATGTTTTTAGGTTGTGGAGCTTTCATTTTTCGTCGGAACAACATCATCAGCACAAACTTCAGGTAGAAGTGTGGTGCTGTGGTGCGAGCTACTTATAAGTAGTATATGACGTGAGTGTCAACGTAATGTCTGGCAGCAGAAGATGGGGAAAGATCAAGAAAGGAAGAGTGGGAACACAATGGAATTTGTGTGAAACGCATGAATAGTGAGTGACAATGGATTGATGTTTTGCAACAGGAACAGTCCAGTTCCATAGGATGAACTGATATTTTGCAAATGAACGATTTACGATATGGTTTTCTGATTTTACTGAGTAACTCTGTAATTATCGTTAAATACAATTCGGTTGCCCCACCTGTGTTCTCCTTCACTACAGAAGAAGTGAAGTATTCCAATTTCTCCACGTATGGCGTTTGACTGCTAATTGATGTTCATGCAGACATGTGATAGAGAACAGTATTCAAAGTCAACAGTGTAAATTCACACACTAACTATTTATTGCATACTATCTCTTTTATCCTTTTTATAAATTTTTGGCTTTGAGATAGTTTAATTCATAATTCAAACCATCAACAATAAAAACATTACATGATTTTACCCTTGAAATCCGATCATCCATAGGTAGATTTCAAGGCGTCATCGATCAGTTGACCAGAGTTATTAAATTTGCAATTTTACGCCTATTTCACACAATATTAACTTTGAGCCAACACTACCACCGCATCACACTGGAATAGTAATTATCCTCAAAGCATTGTTAAGGGCTAGTGTGTCTTTGTTTAACACACAAACAGACAAGCAAACAAATGATAACAAGCCAAGAAGAGATGAGGTAAATATCAATGATGAAAATCTTTATCCAATGTAGATTTAATACTAGCATTACAGTCCCCATCTTTATTTATATTTCATTAGGTTCATGGTTCAACACTTAAATAATAATAAAACTAAACACGCGCGCGCACACACACGCACACTCAAAATTTCAGTTTACAAACTGCATGCATACATACATACGTACATACTACTTACTTGTTTAACCATTCGTTTGTAAGCATGATAATCGTCTCCAACATACAAAATCGATTTGCCACGATTGAATAGTGTACAGATTAAAAGACCAAATGAAAACATATCACTTGCATCAGTCACTTCACCCTAAAAATAAATTGATAATATTGATAACACTTCATCTCATATTGAATAGAGTTAGTTATGTGGTGTTATGAAGAATAAGAATTCTTCGGAAAATAATCATTGAACTACTACAACAGCAGCAATTAATAATGAATGAGCTTGTTAGTTTTTTTAGAAAAAAACTGATTGGCATACGATATCATGTCACATATCAGTCAGGGTTAGAGCTTAAGTCCGTGTCAATATAAAAAGGCTCCGATGTTGTCCACTGTATGAAATAACAAAAACAGTTATTTCATCGATTAAAGTCGATATATTTTAGTGGATGTCAAAAACTCTGCTCCAGAAAACTCAAGTTCAAAAGTCAATGAAATTACAAGTCTTTTTTCTCGACGCAGGATTATTAATAGGCCTTGAAACCAGTAGACAGATGGAAAGGTTAACAGCAAAATTAATACCAAAGTGTTACGTTCGTCACTAGGTAGGCTTGAAGCTATTACAAGTTTACCTTAGTCGATAAAACGCGAACGAGACAATTACCAGCGTCCAGGTAGGCTACCTTGAATCCCAACTGCAAAACAGAAGTCTTGATAAGCGTAGAAAGTATATTCTACAACACCCAGCAATCACAATGCAATCAACTCTCGTTTATTTATACATCATAGAAACGTCCTTGGGACAGTTATGAAAATAGCACACTAAAATACACAGCAGCCAATTACAGCCAACGATTTTCCTGGTGGTAAATGAAATCTCAAAGTCAACTGATCAGCACATGCTCGCCAACGTGAAATCCAAATTAAGGCATTTATCAAGCGAGTTCTGGGGATCTAACATCCCCAACACTAAGAGAAAAAAACAGGTGAGTAGAAACCTGAAAACTGAACATCTCTGTTACTGTTTTTTCCAATAAGATTTTAAAACTGGCCTATTGAGCTTAGAACCATCGAGCATAGGATGCATGATGTTTTCAACGGGTGTAATTATATCTATCTTAGAACTTAGACGACAAATAGTTGTTTCATGTGACGTCTATCCGCCCTGAGAATTATTTGGTGCCGAACAATTGTAAAGTAGACTAAACTAAAAAAAATCAATGGATTCGATTGAACAAAAATAAAGGCAGACACAAAGAATTTAAAAAAGAATTCCCCATTGAAGAGTGAAGTGAAGAATATATATATATACATATGTGTATACATAGTTCAAATATTGATTCGAAACTAATAATTAATTCCGAATCGAAAATAACTAGTCTGTATATACACGAGAACAATGGACAAATCAAGTTGATTCACAATGGCGAAACTACTTACATACATTTCAACCAAAAATAAAAAACAAATGGAATATATTAGAGAGGGAAGATATTATGTAACAATAAATTAGGTGGTACATAAGTTGCTAGCAATCATCTGATTTGTATGATATTATCAATTCGGATAATATATTAAATCATTGATTAATTCATGTGAAATATATAAATCTGACTGTTGATCAGAGGTAAATGAAACACAGAAAATTAGTGTATTCAAAAAGAATTTTAATCTTCTTTGGTATATAATAAATAAATGTTCATCTGTTGTCTTTGCCTCCCTCCTGCCTCTTTTGCATACAGTCATAATCAGTTTTTGGTTCAATTATGACACAATCATATAGTAGTGTTTATAAAGAAGCATCATTTAGTTTCTGTATGATTGTATATGATTTAGCAGATACAAATTAGTAATTTTAACTGCTGAAAATAAAGTACCCTTACTTCAAAACGACTGTCAATGAATATTTGAATTACGGGGTTGTGAGGATTGTTAAGTTACACATTTTTGAAACCATGGATCCATCAATGTTAGACCACCATTAGAAACCTGGAAGCACTGGATGGCCGTTTCGTCCTGGTATGGGACTCTTCAGCAGTGAGCATCCACGACTCCTGCACCCGCGTGAATTGATCAAGTTAGACATTAACACCGTTAGATACCGGCTCAGTAGTCCGATGGTTAGGCGTTGGCCTACAATACCGAACGTCCTGGGTTCGAATCCTGCGGGGTGCAGGAATCGTGGATGCGCACTGCTGAAGAGTCCCATACCAGGACGAAACGGCCGTCCAGTGCTTCCAGGTTTCTAATGGTGGTCCAACATTGATCGATTCATGGTTTCAACAATGAATATTTACAAATAATCAAGCAATAGATATACTTACAAATCGTTTGCTTGAACAGATTGTTGGAGCATTTTAAGTAGCTTAATTCAATCTGATCACTACACAACAAGGATAAGCTTTCTGACTTTATTGTTTCTGTAGATTACTTGCTTCTATAAAGTATTAGTATAACAGTTATACTAATGAATTGCTTTTAACCAAATTATAGGTGTAAGTCTTAACATGATTTCAAGTAAAAAATGACAAGAAATCAGTTAAAAGATTTTCTTTTGAGGTCCAGTGATTAAATCGACCGACAAATCATTGTAGACATTTCTGATAAGAACTAATCAAAATATCCGGAAACTAATTTCTTTCAAAGTTTTTATGACAGCGGGAGTTTAAACAGCGCATGAGATTAATCTCGCTTTGTGTATAGATATCGAATAATAGACCACCTACAATATTTTGCACGACTGGTCCTCACTACACAAAATTCAGTGCTTAAGGTTTAATATATATATATATATATATATATATATATATATATATATATACTTTTAGTCTTTTCTCTTTGTCTAAGACACAATATAAAAATAGTTAATAATAACTAGTAGTGTAGGAGTAGGTTGGAAGAAAGTTAGGGCCGGCTAGACCAAAACATGGCAGCAATCTGTGAAGTCATTGACAAGTGGACTGAGTCGTGTCGGCAGGTGTCGACTACCCGGTTGGGGCCAGTGAGATGTTAGTAAACGATGGTTAGATACCTTGAATGACATGGCTCAAAACCGTTTGCAATGGGTGCAGGTGCATTTATTCTTTGTGTTCTCTCAAATCCTAATCTTCTGGATTCTTCAACACCTCTAGTTTTGACTTTCTGAACTTATCTCACTGAATCATACTTGTTGAATAATATCTTCTAATCTTAACCTCTCCGATTACTTTTAATACCTTAACTACCTCTTCTACTTTTGGATTTGAATTTACAATTACGTCTCTGTGCTAATGTGATATGGCAACATGAACTGATGTACTTACGTACGAAGTTCTACATTGCATCTGACTGACTGACTGACCAATATTGTTCAGTTAATTATTTAACTGTTCACAATGAATAATGCTTAACAAGCTCAGTTTTTTTTTCTTTGAAAATCTTTGATTACACTGTGTTGATTACTTGCTAGGAGACAAGTAAATCTGTTATGACACTTAATTGTTTAATATATCAACAGTGTTGAAACCATAAGAAATTAGGGATGAATACATGTGAATATATATTTGAAATAATTAGTTTGTAGTTATGAAAATTTTTAAACCTTCTCAACACTCACATTTACAGTGTCTACAAGTAACTTCTCGTTATTTTTTTTTTTAAATTATTTATTCTAATAATGTCTTTTGATATCTTTTGAACCGTATTATATTCTGTTTGTTCAATTACACGTAATGACTGACTGGGCTTTTTTACTAGTTATTTTGTGAGCGTTTCGACTTAACTTAAAAATATGCAACTTTTAAGTTCATCAAAGATTCTTATACTCGAATTTGAGATAGACGCACGTACGTACGTACGAAGTTCTACTTTGTATTTGTCTGTCTGTTTGAACTGTTTAACACCACCGTTCCAGAAATGCTGTTTCTACAACTTACCTGATTCGAAAATAGTTTTTTATCATCAATATTGATGTTAACTAGAGAATTATTGAAAACCGAATGAGTGGTACGTAAACCGATTATAGTCAATTACATGAGTTAAAATCTCATAATTATATCTACTTAACCGTACAGTTGCAAAATAAATATATGTTGTAACGCTTGCTTAGATAATTCCCGGCTAAATCCTATTGCTTAGTATTCTCTGACCACAATACACTGGACAAGTTCCCAAGAATCAAAACACGGTTGAACAGGGGAAGATTATATTCCAAATAGAAAAGGTTAAATGGAATAAGAGCCGAAGGCGAAGGCAAAAATAGATACAACGTTAGTCTATTTATAGCATTTACATGAGAAGCTTCTGGATAGAAATTCACGTGATCGAATGGATTAGATTTAACCAATCAGCACACAGCTAACAGTACGAGAATCTTCTACCCTTTTCTCCAAGATTCGATCAGGCGCTGATTGGATAGGAAATTAGCCAATCAGCGCGTAGCAATGTAGTCATGCTTTGATTACGTCTGTGTCCCACTAACAATATATTAGAAAAACAATTCAACTCTTAGATGAACTTTTTTCAGAACTATAAAACTGAAGTTTGTGAATATTAATAATAATAATTACTAATATTATTTATTGATACATAATAACCATCATTTATGGTAGACCACACTATATAATTTACAATTTCAAGAATTATGTACACTTCACAATAATACATGGAATAGAAACTTTAAAAGATATGAGATTAAAGAAAATATAAGTTTACTGATGGACCGACAGAAGTAGACAGGTAATGGAGAAATAAAGATGGGAGAACCAGGTAAAAAATACACAACAGTTGTAAACAGAAGTGAAAATTTCAACACAGTCTTTAGTATGACATTTACAACACAAATAAATCCGGGCAACTGGTAGGTGTGTTTCAAAGTGTGCCCACTTAAATTCTCTGACCATTTGGATTTGATTCATTTTACAGACACCAACTTTGATATTTGGATTCCCTAAACCTTACGTATCTAAGTTGGAAACTGTCTTCACGCTCAAGCGACTCGGTAAAAAAACAAGGTAAAATAAATATTTAGTGCCCCCAAATTATGAATGGTTCCACCCCCTCAAGTGAAGTTTTGTTTGTGCTAAGAACTATCTTTAAACAAAATCAAAATTTAATAAGTCGCTCATTAAGAATTTAAAATTCTCGAAGATAATTAAAAGAATCACTTACCTCAAGGATCGCCTCAGGGCTACTACTATCAAGTTTTAGTTGACAAGTAGGAATTAAATTAGACTGCCAAACAGGTATTCGAACGATAGATTGTTCGGGTTTTTCACTTTGGTCCGCTGTCTTTGAAAACTCGAACCCACCAAGCTTCCAAATCCCAAAACGATTGATTACTATTGATTCAGGAGTCAAATTCAAGTGTAAACGATGACAATCACAGTGAAGAAAATTCAATGCCTCAGCAAGCTTGAAATAAAAAAGAAACGAATTAGCATTTAACAAACAACACAACAGCTAAAAGTACTCTGGTTGATTGTTGCTCAATATAATGTCGATATTTGAATAGTAGTTATATTGCATTGACATAACCAATATTCCAAGACTAATTGAATTAAATATTGAATTGGTTATGAAGTTTAAGAAACTCTCTAGTAACTTTGTAAAGTCTTTACAAAAAGGCAAAAAGTAGTGACATACATAATTGGAACTAAATGACACAGGAAAAAACTTTAGCTTACTTGCACTAAACCATATTTAATTTCAATATCTGACAAAGAAAACTCCATAGACCCGTTTGACTGTCCAGTGTTTGGCGATTCTCTTGTCAGTACACTATTTAGTGAAGCAAATAACGGTTCTGTTGCATAAGCAAGACTTTCACGTGACTCCTCTAGTGGTTGAAGAACTGATACTATTTTTGGATGCTTAATTCTTGTCAATGTACACACCCCATGTTTAAGTATTTCAATCATAGATTCGCGTTGTAACTTTGGATAAGACTCTAACAATTTTTTTTCCATTATCCATATGGTAGCTTCCTGTGATAAAGGACCTCCTATGTGACGAAGATATTACTTACTTGATGAGTTGAACGCTTTTTAGCTGAATACAATTTCCATAATAAGCCCGGACCGGCTTGACCAATTTGCTTTTCAATATCATACTCTCGAGTTAACGGGTTGCCAGGAAGAGCACCTGATACTTTTGTTTTTAGTTTATTGAACACAGAGTCCATCTGTAATTTTAGAATAAAATAATGTAAAGATGAATGCTCACTCACTATACTTACAACTGTAAATAAGGCAGCTTATGAGCTGTTATATGAAATTAAAAATATACAGAATAGCGAGATATACTTCTTTATTCAGTCTCTGTGCGTAAGCTCCACTGCCTTAATCGGATTGTGAGTGCAAATCAGATCTAGAAATGTTGTTACAATGAATCTGGTTAAAAATAACCCCTTTGATAACGCTGTTATTTTTTCAACCTTAACTTGGTATAAGGCACCAAAAATGTCCCATAGCAGAGGAAATTTTCATAGATAGACTAAATGAGAAAAACCACATAGCATTCGTCGGGGCCCGAATACTAAAGGATAAAATCTCAGAAATACGGACAACCAAAACACTGGCAGAAAGATTGTACTTTCCCGTCTTAGTGACCCAGTGAAGTTAGATTGGCTGAAATCTAATATCTTATGGTCCCGAAATTCCATGTAAGTATCCCGTAAGTTTACTGTCCATGTATGAATATCCTCATTGTGACCGAAGTGTGAAGTAAAATCACTATATCCAGCTGTATTCACATATGATAGCAGTCTAACATATGATCAAGTTACTAGTACTTTAAGTTGTACACATTCGCATGTTCATGAGTGCGCTAAATTAACACGTATTACAAGTGAACCATAGTAACCTGCGGATGTTTACCAAGTCTCATCTTTGAAACTACCTACTAAAAAGGCTGCAGAACCATCAGGTAGGGTCAACCCCAACAAGATAATAATTTATCAACAAAGCAACCAGATTTGTCATACCGGTTGTCGGGTTGAGCGGAATTACCTTACATGACTCAATGGGATTTCGACATTAAAAGTGATGTCAGTTTGTAGTGAAAACTTCTCGCGCTGAAAATATACTATACCAGCGACCTTGAGCTACTTGCCAGCCAATCAGGAGGCAGTGTTTGGATATAAAACCATTAACCATGAGCAGTAGTAAAATAACAACAGAACAACAGCTTTGTTATGAATAGTTATTCATTGTGTGTTGGATTATTTTTAGAGCAAGGGAAGATTGCCAAGTTTAAATATTGAAAGACGAATTAGCATTGAGAGTCAGGGTCAAAACTTCGTAGGGCTACCATCAAAAACTGACATCATCCATTATGTAAAGCTGCTGAGGTAAAGTATTAGAAGTTAAGCGACAGTTAGGGTGTCGGTTTACAAATGAGGGTTAGTTAGTCATTCAGTCAGTTACGACGCAGAACTTCGAACACGAGTTCCGGTTGCCCTACCGTGTCAGCACAGAGACGCAACTGTCAATTGAAATCCCATAGTGGTAGAGATAGTAGAAGTAATAGCGGTAATGGAGAAGATTAGGGTTCGAAGATATTATTCAAGAAGTATAATTCGTTGAGATTACTTAAGAAAGAGAAAGATAGAGATGATGAGGAATTCAGAATTTGACAGTACACACTGAATGAATGCACCTGTGCCATTGCAAACGACTTTGAGCCATGTCATTCAAGATCTTTAACCATCGGTTACTATCGTCTCGCGGACTCCAACCAGGTAGCCTACATCTACTAACATGACTCAGTCCACTTGTCAGTGATTTCATGGATTTCTTCCATGTTTCGGTCTGGACACCTCTAGCTTTCTTCCTATACCACAAAAGAAAGCTCGTCGAGGCAGTCGGTGGTCGGGCATACGTAACACATGTCCCAACCACCTCAACTGATGAAGTTTCAATACTTCGTCCATTGATCTGTCATCCCTAACTAGAACTAGTTTCCTAATAACAGCGCTGCTCACCCAGCTGTCCCATGATACACGAGCAATGCTTTGAAGACACCTATGATCAAAAACCAGAAACCTACGAATATCTTCTACTCTCACTGGCCATGTTTCGGATCCATATAGTAGGACGGAGCGAGTTGTTGCAAAGTGCACTCGTCCTTTAGTCAGCAAACGGATATCTTGCCTACACCATAAGTGGCACAAGTTGGCATAAGCTAATCTAGCTTTCTGTATCCGTGCTGAAATTTCGCCAGTCACCCGGAAGTCAGCACTGATGAGACTTTCAAGATAAGTGAAGCGGTCTATACGCACGACTACTTCACTCCCTATCACTAGTTCAGGTGCCGATGAAACTCAATCTTGAAGCAACATTTTGCATTTTGAGGGTCAGAACCGCATGCCGAATATGGTTGCATTGTTGCTTAGGGTAGTCAGAAGACTCTGCATTTTGTCAGCGTCTTCACCGAATAGAACTATATCATCATCATACTCTAAGTCAGCAAGCGTGTCCCCTGGTAGAAGCTCCACTCCTGAAAAGTCAGACGAAGATAAATTTAACGCTAAAAGCATGTCTACGACAAAGTTAAACAGGAATGGAGAGTGGACAGCCCTGACGGACACCACTAGAAGTATAGAATTCCAATGACAGTTCGCCATAGGCTCTCACTCGACCAGTGGTATCCGAGTAGAGAACTTTTATAAGGTTAATGTACTTCTTTGGTACACCTTTCAATGACAGACACTGCTACAGAACCTCACGATCGACTGAGTCCAATGCCACTTTAAGGTTGAGAAATACTACTAGTTTGGGGTGTCTGTACGTGTGTCTGTGTACAAGGACCAGTCGTCGGAGTATTATTGAGGCCAATACTTTAGATACTTTTTTAGTTAGGCTGGTTCCTCTGTGATTGCCACATGAAGACTTTTGTCTTTTCTTATAAATTGAAACAATCAGTGATTGTGACCAGTCAGATGGGATTACGTCCAGTTCCCAGATTCTACCTAAGATTTCAGTCAATCTAACCGTTAAAACTGGACCACCATCCTTAAGTATCTCAGGGGTAAGCCTATCAGGACCTGCTGCTCTAACTTGCTTTAGATTTCCCATAGCTTTCTCAACTTCATGTAGACTATGAGGACTTAAATCGACTTGCCATTCAGAATGACTGGGGATCGTGGGCAACCGGAGTTTGGCTGAAGGCTAGTTTGACTTATCCCTGATGTGTTCTGCCAATCGATCCAATCTCCCGGATAGAGAATAAATGATACAACCATCCTTTTCTGAGATAGTTCCGCTAATAGATGGATTCCTAATACCGGTTTCCTTTATAAGTCAGAGCAGCTGTCTACTGTTGCCTATTGCCGCTGCCTTAGGGTTCTTAGCATAGCTAGACAGTATTTTCCTACTTATTTGTAACTCCAGATTTAAACAACAATAGTGTGACAATTCCGATTGATAAAAGTGACTTCTAATCTTCACTCGTAACACTTTCATAACGCTATTTCGACCTTATCAAGTAGTCGAGGGGTTTTCGAAACCAGATCGGAATCCCCAAAAAGACGCCAAAAGATTTTCCGCACGCTTTGAAAACAAAAGATCAGTTCGGAAATACAGGGACTAAGGAATGATAAGAAAAACTATTCTAAAGTCGTTCACGTTTATACAAAACTATCGTCTAGTTTTTTCAGAGCGAGCTACTAGGAATGTCAAAGAAATTATAAAGTTGGAGATTTTATTTGCTGTTATTATCTGACACAACTCAAAACTTACAGAGTAATAACTGACCTTTAAAGACAGATGTCCTGAAAAAACATAGAACGTACGGACCAGTTTCAAAATAGCCGAACTCTATTATCCGATATCCAATATTTTTCATGAGCTAGGGTAAACCAGTTGATTTCTTTGCGCTTGATTCTTGTCTTTTCTGTACGGTAACAGGTGTTTGGTAATTTCCAATGAATTGTTGTTCAGCCACTCGACTGTCTAATTCTAGTCAATTGTGTATGAGTTAGTATGTCCCGCGATTCGAATGAAAGGTGAGTGCTCCTATTACACAATATTTACGCGACGAACTTCT